AATCTCAACACCATCAATTCTAAATGGAACATCTACAGTTCTTTTTTTTACTAAATATCATATAATTAGCTTTATCCAAATTTAGTGACAAATTATTAAGTTTAAACCAGGTTTGTATTTTTACAAATTCTGTTTGCATTATTTCCATCATCCGTTGTATATCAATATCCAAACAAAAAATGTGGTGTCATCTGCAAATAAAACACATTTAAACACCCCTGACACATTAACCAGATCATTTACATACAAAATAAATAACTTTGGTCCAAGTACAGAACCCTGTGGAACTCAACATGTGATATTACTAAGTTTGGATCTTACATTATTTATTTGTACAAACTGTTTCCTATTTTTCCAATATCTAGATACCCACTGTAGTGCTGGGCCTCTATACCATATTTATTTAGTTTTTCAAGAAGAATACTGTGATCAATGGTGTCAAATGCTTTCTTTAAATCCACATAAATGCTAGCACAATACTGTTTTTGATCAACAGCAGTTTTATTTGTTGTATAAGTTCCATGAGTTCCATAATGTCTTCCTCATGTCATCATTTTATGTATTAACTTTCAAAATATTAAATTCACTGTAAGAGTTACTCAGCCAGAGTGTTTCCTGACCTAAATAAAAATAGTTTAATTCCAATTAGATCTGTGGATTCCATGTCTGGATCAGAAAAGGAGCCGTTGGTGGACGAGCCGAGCAGCGATGCTCAACCACCTCCTTCCAAACAAGAAGTCTCTCTGAGCTGCGGTGTCACCACTGATCCCTCACTGTGGCTTCCCCCACCAGAAGAAGACGACAAAGTCCAGACTYCACTACCAACAAATGTCTTTGACCAGTCCATCAGCTCAGTCCTTCTGAAACAGACAAGTGAAACCTCTGTTTCTCCCTGCTTGACCGTCACCGATGCCGAGRTCAGCCAGCAGGTGGGAAAGCAGAGCAGTCCAGAAACAGAAGCTGAGATCGTGGGGAAAAAGGAAAAGATGGAGGAGAGGGGAGCACCAGAAGGAGAGACGGAGTGTCTGGACAGGCCTGTCAAGGAACCTAAGTGGGAGGAGCTTGTGGAGGCAGTGGTCAAAGCTGACCAGTCATTAGCCAGGGTGCTCTGCCCACTAGCCAATCGTAAGACAGCGCTGATGCTGATGGAGCAGCTGCTGTCAGAGGACACTCTGCTGATGGAGGAGCACTACAAGAAGAAGCAGGAGCAGAAAGGCGCTACAGAAAGGTGAATTAAAATGTTCTCCAACATGGCAAAATGCGAAATTCCACATTGGCAATTACAGTTTCTACCATTAGAATCAGCAAGGAGGAGTCGTGCTTTATGTTTTTTTACAAACTTTTGCTTATCATACCATGTTGCAGTTAAACTTTACACACAACTCTGAAGTTAGAACAATTAATATTAGTCTCACCTTTCAAACTACTGTAAGGAGCATGAAGTTGATTATTTAGACGAGGACAAGTTAATGAGAATTGTTGGTGTAGTGTGTTTCCAAGAATCTTAATCCTGGTTTCTGATGGCTTAAGAACTGATCTCCACCAGTGTTGCATTACATTTCAATAAAGCACGTGCACAGACACACCTGCTTATTTGCTTACAGCTGCACATGCACTGGGATGTCTGTTTGGTAAGCAGATACAAAGACCGTGTGTGCTTGCTTTTCATTGTTTTGTAATATTTAAACACCCGTTGTGCCTTCTTCATACAGTACACTGCTTAAATGAAAGTGCATGTAAAGTAAAATTTACTGTAGTTCATGTTTTTCATGGTTTAGCTACGTTTTCTTGATTGAAAAGAAAAAAAAAACATTTTTTTCTTTGTAGCGTTGAAGAAACTGAAGGATCTGAACCATCTTCTTGTTGCCCTGCGTCTGACAGCCAGAAATCAGAGTGTACAGAGCAGCAAAACAAGACTGACATCACTGAGAAGAAGGTAATTATTTGTTGACTCAAACCAGTGGGGTGTATCTGTCTAAACTAGTAAAAAAAAATAGAAGTGAGTTTCAGTTATTTTAAAGTGATCTTTAGCTCTTTTTGTCAAAACATGTTTATGCCTCCTAATGTTATTTCTGATCTGGGTGTCTGGGTTTTTTGACTATCAGGATTGTGACACAAACACTCCTATGTTGCATTTGCATAAAAAAATATATTGATTACAGACATGCAGCAGCTGAAAAACAGTCATTTTAGGCTGCAGTTTGAACTTTCTTTGTTTTCTTTTCTAAAACAGGTTTCATATCAGTAATATCTGTTGTGTCATTTATCAAAATATACAGTTTGCCTCTTATCAGTGTCTCCAGCTTGTCTAATATTTGGCTTAGAAAGTTACACTCCTTTTTCTTACTAAATGCTCTGGAAGGTTTCTCCTTTTAACAACATATCTTTAGCCATCATCGTGTAAAAATGTCCAACTTTCTCGCTCACCTGCAGTTTGAAATWCAACATAAACACYCTTTTCGCCCTGAYTGAATCACATTCTGTAATGTTCCTTCACTCTGTTTGCAGCATTTATTAGTGTCTTATATAAAAGAGCGTTTGAGTTCACTGGAGGCGTCTCGCGGAGCCCTGCAGATGGAGGCTGAGGAGAACGGTGCCCGTGGGGAGGCGCTGAAGCTGCTGGTGCGTGACCTCTGTCAGCCAGTGGAGCTGGAGAGGTACAACCTGTTTATAGGAGACTTGGAGAGGGTGGTCAACCTGCTGCTGTGCCTGTCTGCCCGGCTGGCCAGGGTCCAGAACGCCCTGAGCATCGTGGACCAGCACACAGATGCTGAGGAGAAGGTGGGGAGAATAATCCTTTTGGTTTTTCTATTTATAGCAGCTGGAAAATTGTGGGTTTAAAGGGATCCCCGATTAGTTGTAACATTAGACTTTATTTGATAAACATATAYTTTAACTGTAAAATAAAGACGGTAAAAATACTGTAGGCTGTTTAGTTTTGTAAATTTTTAAAAATAGATTTTAACACAGACACCCCAACGCTATCAACATATATATGGATTAGCTCAGCGCTACACATTCTCCTCTCGTCACTGAGGTCGTCCATCCACATGACTGAGAGGGGAACACAAAAATGACTCAGCTGCAACTGAAAATATGATGGAGGACCTCAGTTTAGCTTGTTTGTTGCACTAGCGCTGAGCTGATACATACAAGGCAATATAGCTTCTGCGCTAGCGCAAAGGCTAACAGGCTAAACTGAGGTTCTTCTTCCATGAAGCAGCTCTGTTGTCCTCCATCTATATTTTCAGTTCCAGGCTGAGTCATTTCTACCTTCTCCTCTCTGTCCTTTTTTTTTTAAATAGGATGGCCTCCCTTCTCCCCTTATAGCCATCCCCTCCACACCATTATGTTTTTTTTGTTTTATTTTATTTTATTTTTTATTTTTTTGTGAAGAGAAAAATAGAGAGAGAAAAACAGAGAGAGAAGTAATTAGAAAAATAGAAAGACTGAAATAGCGATTAGGATT